ACAATATATCAAGAAATCGATTAAAATTCATTTGAAATTCATGCCGGAGAGAAAGATTGACATTGGCTTTGACTATGAGAAATTAGGCAATATTTATATGAAAAGATCATTACCAAAACAAGCTATTAAATGGTATAAAAAGGCTATTACTAAATATCTCAGTGCTAAACCACCACCTTCAATTAATTTGGCCGATTCTTATTTTTATCTTGGAAAAATATTTTTAAGTATAGAAAAGTACTCAAAAGCAAAATTGTATTTGATCAAAGCACGTAAGCTTCTTCAAGAAAATCTATCACCATCCGATGTTCAAATTGTTAAAATTAATATTGAACTTGGACGTCTTAAATATTCTCAAAATAGATTTCATATGTCCACGAAATATTATCAACTTGCATTGAATATTTGTGAACAACAACCAAAATTAGTTTATCATGATTTAATCTATATACATAGCCTCTTAGGACTATCTTTAAGCACCGAACAAAAGTACGATCAAGCAATGTACCATTGCCAAAAAGTGCTTGAAATTTCAAAAGAACGTATGTCTACATCATATGAGGAGGATGAACAAATTGATATGATAATTACACGAGTGTACGAGAGAATTGTTCAGATCCATATTCATGATAACAAAATTGATGAAGCTCTGACAAATGCACGAGCATGTCTTAAAATTTCTCGGCAATATCCGATGAACTATTTTAATTTGGGTAACAGTTTATTATTGATGGGGAGTGTTTATCGACACAAAGAACTTTATAAACGATCATTGGTCTGCCTAAGAAAAGCTCGTCATCTTATTAATAAATGCTCTTATGAGTATCAAACTCAATTACTTCCTTATATATATGCTGAATTAGGTATCTTCTATAATAGAATGAGTGATCATCGATATCGAACAGCGTACAAATACTATAAATTAGCGAGGAACACATCTTTGAATAGTCATGACGAAAATTTTCGACGTGATATAGAAGAAAATATAAAAAATTTACAAAATCAATGTGGAGATTTATTAGAAATATG